TTTCCCTACGCGAAGTCGAGTTCGCTTGTGGGTGTATGTCCAGGTATTACTCTGCAACGGATGGACCAATCGTGATGAAAACTTCCTGCGGTGGTCCCGTTTGCAAAGAAATTTCCGATTTCTTTTGTTCAATATAAGCTATTATTTTCATTCGCAAATCCGGTTCTTTCGAATAGTCCAAAGTAGTTTGTATTGTTTTTTACGGTTACTGCGTAAGTAACGATAATGAAAACCATGTTACTTAGTATTGCTCCCTACACTAAAAAGTATATGAAATAAACAAATTTTTTTCAGAAAATGTGGACCGACTTCGAAGTGCACTAAAAAGTAGAAAATAATTTCTATTTTTATTATGTACACAGAAACGCAACAACGGTTAAGAAAACTTGTTTTCTCTTCCTAAATTGCATATTGAATACATATCGCAACCATTTCGGAGACGGTGCAAAATTAAAAATACAACAATATATATATTGCAAAAAAAAATATAATTTTTCAGTTTTGTTAAGGTAGGTTTGTAGCACTTATTGTGCCATTAAACTTTTGTTTAAACCATTTTGTTGTATCTCCTGTGCTTTAAGAACTACACGCGAAAAAATGGGAGTGCCTGTTTGATTTTGAGTTTAGTTTTCACACCCTTAAAGGGCGTTTGAGCACGAATGAAATATGTCGTTATTCTTGTCTTGAATGACTCTATGAACCCACGAAGTTTCATTTCAATCCGCGAAATTGTAGCGAATTTGTTGCGAAAACTGTGTTAATGATATCGAAGTTAATCGGTTTTATAGAGAGAGCGATGTAGTAAGTGGTTCGTTGTTAATGAATGTAACTTGGATGATGAATTCAGTAGAACTCTGTTCAGTAGAACCACGGGCTTTCAGAAGAAAGTCGGTGGAAATGTTGGCCTCGATTTGTCGAGGTTATGGTGCTGTATCGTAGGGGGCGGGAACTTTAATATTCAATTTGGTCCAAAGACTTATAGAAGATTAGTAATTCTTTTGAAAATTCACGCTCTCTAAAATGAAGCGATATATAAACGTATCTCGAAGGATTTTCGAAAATTTTAAAAATTGTTGATTTTACAGCTGTTTGAAATTTAGGGTCAACCTTTTTTCAATGAATCATAACTATGGAACTAACAAACTGATCGAAATTAGCTTTGCAGGTACTTACAGTGGAGACATAAGAGTACTAAATAAAAATTATCGAATGTCAGTTTCAATTCAATATCTGGATACTGAAGATAAAAGACTGGTTATACTGAACATGACGTTGACGACAGAAATTGGAAAATAAAACTGGTACAAATGTGTTTAATCAGATTCTTGGTACAAAAGTGATTCGAAAACGCAGAATAAGTTTGTTTTTCCATCCGGTTGAATATGATACATCGGTGTCTATAATAAGAACGAAGCTCTTTATTAAAAATTCATAAGCAATTACGTCAGGACATAGTACAAGGCTCTAGTTGAAGACACGCAGTTGGATTATAAAGTGATTCTTTAACGCGTATGCACGAATGAAGAAGTGTTTTCTTAGAATTCCTTGAAAAGCCTCTTTCATTCGGTGTATCGATGGAGTGCCGTCTAAAGTAGTCGAGATTTTATTGCTTGAATTATGTGTATGTATAATGTTACGAACGCACCACTGCTGCAATGATTCTTGCTTCTGGTAACGGGATAACTTACGACTGGAACAGCTAAGAATCATTGGAGCAATACGGAGCCATTTAAATAAACTCATTAATCATTCTATGTCTTTCTGTTGCGATTTATGATGCGGGGATTTTCTTGTAAAAATGATCGAACAGTACACGATCTATCGCTAAGGTTAATTTTACACAAAATCGTGATGTATATCATATGTAGAAAACTAATCGAAACATTTTCACTGACCCAGTGCAAATACTAAAATTAGTAATTTAAAAATCTAGAAACAATAACGAGAATACAGTACATACTGGAAATATTTATTACACTACTCAAATATTAAATACGCTATAACTTATGAACTCCTTATTATCGATACTAGGAAAATTAATTAACTCTTATCCACCGTTCGATAAATTGTTACTTTTATATTCCTTGATTGAAACTTGTTCTAAATTAAAATCGAATCAAAGAAAAATATACTTTCAGATCCTGTGTTCGTTGCATATACATATTAACTACTAGTGTCAAATTAATTTGCAAATTCCTCTAGCAAAGAATATGAATAAAAATTATAGTCTGAGTTCGGGCCAAATTAGGTGAAATGTGTAGCTTAGTATCTTGATTGCAAAATGTAATCTAATTACAAAATCTAAATTAGAATTACAACGTAATTGCACTGTAATTACAGGACAATTACAATTATGTATATTGTACTTTTATTATAAATTTAGTACAGTTAATTACAGTGTAATTGTCCTGTAATTTCATTGTAATTGTAATTTAGATTTTGTAATTAGATTACATTTTGCCCAACTCTGACCAAAATAAGTTGGACACAAATCTTTTCACCGATCATATTACTACAAAAATTATGTGCCCCGCGTATATTAAAAAGTGATGCAATTATTATTTCTACACTGTATAAAATAAAATAACTTTCCCAAGAATTAACGTGAAATACTCTCCAACGAACTACAATATATTCATTCCTCTCTGAATGAGACAATAACACTTCCCAATTCTCATGGAGAAAACTAAATTGCTTTCTATTGCGCTATCTATTGTCCAGATGGACGAATGCTTTTTTTTTTTTAATGTTTAGCTAGATCTGTCCTGGTCGATTCATTCGATTCATTCGATTCATTCGATTCGCCACGCCACTTATGTCCATTCGATCGAGTTCATCGATCTTTCTTCGCGCCTTTCACGCGTCATCGTGCATCTTCGGCGTTGCTAATTATAGGAACGCCTTTGATGAATTACTAGGATCACGACGGGCCTAGAAACTAACGTTGCGTGTTATTTCTATCTTTCCAGATCAACGGGGCGCGCCCATAATCGCGTGCAAGAAAAGGAACGCGATCGTCGCGAATTATTTTAATTGCGATCTTAATCCACGCACCGGTATACGCGATAGAGCGATTTATAGTGTGTTTATAAATAGAACTATCGTTCGAAAGTTTGAGATAATTTGCTTGAATTTTTTTCTCGAGAACAATGCACGAACGGTTGAACGACTTTTCCAGAAGAATTAAGTACGACGTTCTGATATCTTCTGTTGCAACGATTAGTATGATATGTATCGATCAAGTTGTACGATTTCGTAGGAAATAGAGGACAATAGAAAGTCTATCAAAAGATTTTTCTTTTCAATGTTATAACAGTCATTAGTAGATTGCTGATTTTATGCAGTTATAGCATATAGGGCTCTGTAACATTCAATAAAACACAAAACTTTCATTAGTTATCAATTTCTTCATTTTCTGAAATGCACTGTTGTAACATTTTAATCATCATTATAAGAATGTATTAACCAATCATTTTGATTGCTCCGGTAGTTCCAAGTGTTAATAAAATTTACATTATTATTATCATTAACATACTAACATCATTAATATAGGAAATAAAATACCTCTCCGAATTTTTTCTAATTTTTCTATATACATAAATGACTGAAAATTATGAATTTGTATAAACATCCGTAGTCTAGAGCGAGATAGTATTTATGTTTCAATGGGCTATAATAACTGAAAAACGAACTCGAAATGATGCAAAAGCAAAACCGTATCGTGCGAATGATCTCATCGAAGAAATCATTCATTTAAAACGCCAAAAAGAAATAATAATAAAAGAATCATTGATCGTCCAAAAATGGTGAGGGGGAAAACCGCGGGTAATGAATAAATTCGAACGCGGCCACTCTCGGCCGTCAAGGCGATCTACGTGATTTATTTCACCTTATGTCACTGCTTAAACTGCTGCGGGTAGGTGGAGGCACTCGAACAATAAATTCGATAATAAGACGTGAGGGGTGGAGCCGTCAAACGAAATTAAACCGAGCGCATACCATTGGGCCATTAGAAAGACGACGACGCCGTAATAAAGCGTAGGTCGACAATGCCACTCGTGGTCCCGATTGAATAATTATACGTGTGCTCGTATGTACTCTTCAGTATCCTCTTTAAACTTGATCCTACGGTTGGGGACCCTTCTCTCGGCTTCAAAACCTCGAATTCTCGACGATACGAATTCAAACCGAATCGTTTATGTCGTAAAATGTCCCTTCACTTTTCTAGTTTTCCTCTTTTGTATTGCATTAATAATATAAGAAACCATAAAATTACTCGTCTTCTGTTATGGAATGGAACATATACAGTCGATGTCAAAAGTATTCGTACGCCCTTTAAAACGGAACAACTTTTTTATAATTGGTCCGCATGACTTGAATTCTTTTGTGAAGTTAGAGACATTAATTTACTAAATGATGTGTAAAAAAAATTGGAAAAGTTGCAATTAGTTGGAATCGCGAAGAAAATAGTAAAGGTCGTTTTTTTTTTTCAATAAATACGTATCGAAGATTTATGTTAGTTATATACATACTGAAACTTTCATTGAAATCCGTGTCCCCCATTTCCTTATCACCTCGAAATGTATTTGACGGTGCTGCAATCACTTCCGATAACGATTCTCCTCTACAGAATCGATTATCCCAGGCAGCTGCACACTCGCAGTGGTCGTTTAAGCCTCGAATCTCCGTTTTCATAAACACAAAAATCTCATATCGATGCCGTAGGTAATTATCAACGGCAGCTGCCGCCACGCCGTAATTAATATCCTAAAACTCGAGTGGCTCGGCCGTAACTTAATATCGAGAACAGGTTATTTGGCGCGCACGATTCTCGAGTCCTTGGAAATTTCCGTGTCGACCAATTAGGGATGGGATA